ATTGTTACCGGGATGTACGATTTTCCATCTTCTCGGTTTCTATTCGGCTCTTGCATGTCGAATATTAATTTTCCTGTTTTCATGTCGAACAATTTTCGTATTCGACAAGAATTTCTGAGTATTGTGTTCGGAAAAGTGGTTTGTGGTAATTGGATGCTTCGCCAGTTTCAGGATAGGTTTCAAAAAGTGTTAATTTTTTTTCTATACCATGTATGTTTTTATATTGATTTGGATTTGATCTTGTTTGATCAGGGTTTATGTTATCAAAGGATATTGATTCTAAAAGTTTTTTTTTTTGAAACTTTGTCAATCTTGCTTGAATTTTAGCAACATGAAATGTGGTACATGTGTCTTCAGGGAACCAAACTATGGTTGCCTGTGTTCCTGTAGTGGGATCGCAATATCCTTGATCATTTTTAAAAGGTAAACGAATGCCTTGATTTAAAATAATATCATCCTTTAAATCTCGTGTTAGTTGTACTTTTTCTAATTGAATTTTCCAAAAAAAAAAAACATTTTTCCTTGGTAACCTGTTTTACAGTTTGACGGATTGTTAATTTCAATGTGAGTTAATCACTTTTTTTGTGTAAATAATAGATTAAACATTCGTATGCGCCATGACACAGGAATTTATCGTCTAGTCGTTTATGATCTTATTGGTGTTGAAGTTTTGCTTGATGTGCAGAGTCTCGAAAAATTTGAAACTTTATTAATTTGCGATTTTTGTTTTTGTTTGTAACTGTTTTTAAACGTTTGAGTTCAGTTTTACAATCTTCAGGGTCAAGATGTAATAGATTTTCTATTTTACTTTGGTGAAAAGATTCATGATCGAGTCTATTTTGTAACCATTTGAAACTTGTGAACAATGTATTTTTGTTCAGAGAATTTTCCTGTGAATTTATATCCTGTGAAAGTAGTAGCTCGGGCGTTTGAGTAAAATTTATTTACTACGGTTGTTAATTCTATATCTTGTGGTTCGGATTCGCACTTTGTGACTTGATTTATTGTATATTTATAGATTGTTTTTAGTTGATTATCTTAACAATCATAATGTAAGACAAGGAGGTCTTGGTCCTGTTCGGTGGGAAGGGTTTTTATGATTTATGGGTTCGAATTGTACTAAAGGAGAAAGGGTTTTTCTTGAAAAAAACTATTAAAAAATTTATGTGTACGATAGTCCTGAAGAGGGATTAAAAATTTTTAACCAACCTAAGGACTTTTTCGCATATCTATCGTATTTATATATAAGTTCTGTTGTAATTAGGGGAGGTGTTAAAGACTCAGCTGTGATGTCTGGTGGTGACAGTGGTAATGGATGATGTACTAAGTTATTTAGTTGTGCTATTATTTCAAATTTAATAACTTAATTTTGTTGTGAAAATATTTGCATATTATGTTATTGAATATCTTTGTGAATATCGTGTCTGTATTGTATATCGTGTCTATATTGTAATCTGTGTAGTGCCCAATTATGGAGTCTGTTGCTATCGAGGTCTTGGCCAGAAAGAGGAGGGTTGCTACGAATGAGTTCCAATCTAAGCGTAAAGGCGTACTTTTACTTTGCAGTTCACGATATCTGTGGTCTAGGTGACTTGGGAAGTTTGTGGGGAATAGAGTTGATGGTGTTTGACCTGTGACTGTTGATGGAAGTGATATTGTTTCTGGTAGTGATAAAGAAGTATCTGAGCAAAGTTCTACTGGGTACTTGGTCATTTAAAAGGTTGGGTTCACCCTGGGAAAATGTTTCGCTCATCCAATATGGAAGTCTTTGGGATGAAGTGGGAAGGTTTAAAGGGATTTTCACGAACTTGTTCAGAGGTAGGTGTCAAACCCAGAAATTCGGATAAAATATTTAGTGTTTTTTGTTGGAAAATGTTTTGAAGCGGTGGCGGGGTGCTTTGTTTTGTACTATGAGAAAGTTCTAGAGGGGTAGATGATGGTGATGAAGGGATATTAAACTGAAATCTTGGTGTTTTTATGTTTCTATTGTGCCGGGGGAGAATAATTTGTCTGCTGATTATATTTGTTAGATTTTGGTTTTGACTCAAATGTTTTAGTCTGTTAATATATTGTTGTAATGAGGGGTAAATACTATATGTTGGTTCGTACTGTGATTCACTTAGGGGTGCTTGAGGAATGGCTGGTATTAATGGTTCTGATAATGATGCGTGTCTATCTTCAGAGGTGTAGGGTTTTCTACATATGAGATACGAGTGGATGATTGGTGTTGATTTGTTTGACTAGATGTGGGTGTTGTTGGGGGATCTTGGGGTGGGTTGTTTGGTGGGGAATCCTTGATAGGGTTTAGATTAGAAATTTTGAATTTTCGGTTTATTTAGGTCTGCGTTCTTAATAATATTCTTCTGCAACAATAATCATTAAAGCTGTTGATGGTACAAAAGCAGTTATTGCTTTTTTATGCATTTTAAAAGTGTCAGAATTAGAGAAGCTAGAAAGCTGAGAAAAATTATGAAAAGAAAAAGGATGTCTTTTCTACTTAGTAAACTTTGAAAAATTTATGGAATTATTAAGTTTCGTACCGGATTAGGTGATCCATGGTTTTGGAGAGAGAAAAGTAGGTCTGGATGAGGGTTTAGAAATTTATGATTTGGCTAGAAAAGATTGGAAAAATTTGAATTGCAAGTTCTAAAAAATCATTTATTGAAAAAACACAAAGTTGAAAAAATATTGAGAAGATTGAAAGGAAAGTTGAAACGACTAGTTTAGTTTCTGTAACTGTGTTGGAGAGAAGCATTTGAAATTGATTTGCTTTGCCGAAATTTTTTTAGGCGTTAAATTCAAGTGGAGTCGAATTGTTTTCTGATTTTTGACAAGTGGGTTAGAGAATAGTAAATCAATCCAGATGATTCAGGTATAAATAGAACAGAAGTAGACCGTTAGCTATTATTTTAAATCGTACTAATTCTAGGTATGCTTAAGCCTGGGTCCATTAAGGGGAGGGGCTCATGTGAAGGATGAGTAACTGAAGTTCTTCCATGTATATCTCAATTAAAATGGTTAGTTATTCAAAAATTTCTATTAGACGTGGGTCGTTGATGAGGGTTGGAGGGTGAATCGTCGTTTGAGGTTGTTAGACATTTTTATAAAGAGGGGGGAAAACAAAAATGTTCTAATTGATCCAAGGGAAGCTTGGTTGATCAAGTATTTTTAAATAAATGAAAATTTAGACTTAAGTTCAAAATTAAAAATCCAAGGATAGCCTTGATGACATTGATTAGAAAAAATTTAGCTCATTGCAAAACAAGCAAAGGCCTTAAAAAAATTTAAGTTTAAATTTTAGAAAGGGTTGACTTAAAAGTTAAAAGTTTAAATGATATTAATTTCTGTGTAATTATGGTTATGTTTTAGATGAAAGAACAAAGAAGTTTGATTTGTGGGAGGAGTAGGATGTAATTTAGAAGCCAGGAAGTGTTTTTGAATCTAATAAAACTAACTTTAAATTGATTTAATAACTAATTTTTAAATTTTTTTTTTTCAAATAATTTTATATTTACAAAAGTTTTTAAGTTACTGCAGATTTGTTGGACATGAACTACATTTGTATCTTTTTATCATATATTATATTATATTTGTCCTTATTATATTATATTTCATTGGTTACACATTATTGAGAGGTAGTTAGCTTGGAATTGAATCTTACTGCTTCAAGTAAATTCTTTCATGTTAGTGAATGAAAATGTCCTGCACTGATAATCTTGATAGAATAAGTCGTTGCAGTCTGCTTTTTCGTTTCACGATGCAGAAGTTCGGTCCGTTATTCGGGTTGTGAACTGATGTAAGCTTGAATACTCGTTGGTTTTGATTAGACTTATTGAGACGTGGAGGTAAGTTTTCGATACTTTTCACCATTTTTGTGGTTTGTGTTTGGATCTTAGATCTTATGTCTATTTTCAGTTTGCTAAATCTAAATTTGCTGAGGTCTTTGTTCGAGACTCTTGGTCGCACCAGATGAGTTTATGTCCAAGTTGGCTCACTGATAAAGTAATTTCCGATAAGAAACACCGTCTGTTCGTCACGCTATCCTATTTTTGGCCGGATAGATTCGTGCAACTTCTTAGTCTAATACCGGTCTTAATCTTACTCTTATATATCCTAGTCTCAATAGATCTAGTGTATACTGGTGTTTCCGAGATAAGGTAATAGGAACTGTTGTGAAGGAGAACGACAGTTTGCTAAATTATATTTATTCTGTTCTGTCGCTGAAACTGAATAGTTTGTTTCAGCTTAACAATTTATAGTAAAAGTTAGTTATGGATCATGATTAGTTAGTAAGAAATGAGATAGTTTTATAAAATAATTGGATATAATTACTAGTTTTAAACTGGTTCCAATCAGCTTTTGTTTTGACTTGCAAGATTATCTTGTAATTGGGAACTAGATTTTTCTCCCGTAAACAACTTTCCTTGCAAATCTGTAAGAAATTGAACCTTTAATGTAGGATAGTGTAGCGCTAACCGCGCCTGCCCTCAGGGTTTGTATCATATTCAAACCTTGTTTTTTTTCGATACATTTCAATTTAAAATTTTTGCAGAGAAAATTTAGTTAGTCGACTGTCGTTTGTCCTAATTTTTTGACTGACTGATTTGCATATCATTTGCTATTCACCATCTTGCTATGCTACGCTTGCGTTTTCTTGCAATCTATGCGAAATTTGACTTTGACTTCGACTTAAAATTGTACAGTTATCTTCCTTCTTTTTTAGAGAGTTTTTATTCATTTTTTGTTATAGCTTTTAGTAGCAAGTCATTCAATGGTTCTGCAGAGCTAAGTTTTTGCATGTTTTTTAGCGTTCAAGTATCGTTATTTGTTGGGTTTTCAGTGTTTCACTTCGATAAGCCACAACAATATCACAGGGTATTATCCTGTTGAGTTAAAAACAATTACTATTTTTCTTTATAAAATTTTTTTTTTCAAGATGAAAAATGCATTTATTTTGAAGAAAAAAACGCATTTTACAAATTTGTAAGTCAAACCCGAATTCTGAATCAATATTGAAATAAAAATCATTTTATTTTAAAATTATGTATATCTAAAATACGGAAACAGTTAAGAGAATGTTTTAATATAAAAAGATAGTTCTCATAATGAAGCAGCATGGTTGAAGCATAAAAACTGCGAAGTTTCTCAGACTCGATGAAAACTTGCATTGATCCGAAATTAGACGGCTGGAAATTTTTTGCACAACAATTCCAACTGAGTTCGGCAACTTACTCTCTCGGCTGCATTTAACGTCCTGACTGTTAGATGACCATTTTCTTGATACGGAATGCGATGCTAAGTGTGATGATAATTTTAAGGGCAAACTTTTGTTATTCACTCGACCGATTGTGTCACACGAGCACGGAACTTCCTTAAGCGAAGTGACGACTCGTTTCAAGGTCACACAACGTTTCAAGTTCCCCAGCTCACGGAAACTCCTGATTTTGTTTCCCTCTATGTGAATTTCGTTCAGGTTTTCAGCATCACAAGTTTTGCTCGGAATTCGGAGAAGTTCGTTATTTCCCATTTGTAAACTCACCAGCCGTGTCATTTCGTTAAACTGTAGATTTTCTATTGATTTTGAGGATATTTTATTGCCTCGAAGAATAAAGTCACCCACACAAGCCATGAAGTTTACATTTTCCAATGTTTCAATCTGGTTGTTTCTAAAATCAAAGTAGAAACTCATGCCCTAAAGCTTACAATAAAAGCATTTACAATTGCAAGGGCGGAAAAGTTTTTGCTCAAGTTCGAAAAATCAGAACAGACTTTATTGAAAATCTTCTCGCTTGGCAGCATCAATTTTAGAAAAATCATAAAATCAGTTATAAGACTGATTATGACCAATTATGCCTGTTTTAAAATCATTTGGTCATACTTACGTAAAGTCTACGGTGATGAGATTTTTCTTCATTTTTGGACATCTGAAATGATTAAACGATTCACTTTCAACTTTCTTGATTTGATTCTCTGAGAAATCGATTAAACGCAGCTCTTCCGTGGAGCATCCTTTCTGAGGCCAGTTGGGAATGGATGACAGACTTTTTCCCGAACAGTCTAGAACATTCCAGGCAAGCTAGTTAAATGGCAAGAATTTAAGTTGTAACTACCAATCGGAAAATTATGACAATTTGTTTTGTTATTACTGAATTTTTGAGAAAAAACGCTAAAAATTGAAGCCTTAAATGTAAGGAAAGAATTACTCAGACGACTTTGTCCATTCACCTTATATAAATGCTGTGAAATCTTATGTGAAATAAATAACCCGAATGGGGAACCCAAAAGGCAAGGAGATTTTTCTGAGAGCCGAATTCAGCTATAGGGCAGAATTATGGATCAAAACAAAGCTAATCTCTTCAACCGTTTTGAGAGAAATTTGATAATTTGTTTGTTTCAATTGGAATTTTCAGCCAATAAATCAGAGGTGTGGATGATCCTAACATGGTATAGTTGGATACATGGTTAGCTGAATACATGATGTTTTCTCTTGCCTATTCTTGAGATGAGTTGATTTGGAGTGTAGGTACAGTCACAAACATTCCACTCTGACTTCCTGTCACATATGGAGCAGCTGTTAGCACCAGTGTTCGCCGGCTCTTCATTGAACAGGCTGGCCACCGTATTCAGAATAGTGAAGATGTCAATTGCCATCATGATGATGGATAGAAAAACGGATGACACTGACAGACTCTACGACCAATTTATGCTAAAAAATAGTTATGCCATAGATTGCAGGCAAGGTCTTAAAATCCAGACAATGCAATCCATAAAAGTGTTGAAAAATTCGCATATCAATTTAATCTGTCATTCTCATTGATAAAAATAGCTATGTTTTTGTGTTCAAAAGCTGCTTGTGAATCTAGTTGCCAATCAATAACGTTTAGTAATTCTTGCCATTTAAGAGACGCTTTTTGCGTTAAGCGAGCTAACCAGATCTGGAAGTCTCTACAGGTATTATGAAATATGCAGGTGTACTTATTATTTTTCGGCGGAGTGTAAATAAAGGTTGGGGGGGGGGGGGGGTTGTAGTCTGACGACGAACGAGCAAAATATCAAAGAAATCCTATTCTCAGTACTATATTCTACCTCCATCTTCATCGTTCGCCACATTTTCCTATTGGGTTAGAAAATAAATTATGGAGAAAAAAAACATTCGAATCCAAAGTTTCTTCATGCTCAAACTGGCGGCCCGACTTTTGTAACACCAAAATGCCATGCGGCGCAATTCTTAAGTTCTGGACATAGGTCGCGCAACTTGAATCGGGTTTAATTTAGTTCATTTCAGCGTTTGAAGTTTATGCATTGCTGATTCGTTGTAGTGATTTTTACAGCGATAAATCCGCACAGAACCCATATCGACCAAAGATAAAAAAGCGCACCGTTAAGAGCCTGGTTCATTGAGGCCAATGTTTGCAGATGCAATGATTCTGTGCCAAGTTTTGTTTTAAGGACAACCCTAGCAAAATATATCGCGGTTAGTATCTCAAATTGAAAAAAATTAAAAGATCACCAGTAAGATATTGTTTAAAAATTGAGCTCAAAAAGCCCCCTATTTTTCAGATGGTATTAAAAATTCCGTTCATAAGTGGAGTTAAAAAGTCTTTATTTTTTCCTGAAACAAGAACACGTCAAGCACAAAAATTTCCTCACTTTTTTGAAAGTCGGAACAAATACCTTCATGAGTACCACTGGCATTTATTTAGCCCTATTTTTTCATAGTTGTTTAACAAGACTGCTCTTGTACAGGCCAAAACGCTGCATGTTCCGACTGACCCTTAATACATTTCAAGTAATTTTTGGGAAAAGAAAAAATTGAATGAACTTTAAATTTTAGAAAATATCAAAGATCAACTATTGATACGTAGAGCGGTGGTGAAGTAGTTACGTCTCCGCCTCTCAATCGATAAGTCGGATGTTCGAGGCCCACCCTGATCCGTGCTCGTTGCTTGAGGGAGAAGCAATATTACCCAGCCCAGAAAAATAACCAAATTAAATTGCGAGTACAACAGGGGCATAACAGCGGTTCGCCGCGATGAGCTGTACAGCTCTTGTGTTGATCCTTTCCCCCGTAGATAAATGGTCTTAATATTCGAATAATTAATAGAACAGATTAGCTAGCCTCAATTCAATTTGGAACGAATTTGTTTTGCGGGATAATTCGGCACGCATAATTAATTCGTGTTACGCATTCAGCATTATGAAAAAAAAAAAATCTTCAAGGCGCACATAAAATAGTCCAGAGCATGGCCAAATTGGCAATTTTTAAACTCCCGAACGCTTGGAGGTAAAGAACCTTTTTACATTTGATTTCAGGAGCCAATACCTTCAATGAGGTAAAAAAAAAGTTGGTACAAACTATTATTTCTATCGCCAAAAATTGACTGAATAAAAAAAACCAACCCAAGAATAAATATTCCGTTTTCTTCGAAAGTCGGAACAATAAGAAAAGCTAGTATTTTCTCTCAAGTTTTCCCGTATGTTTTTGTTAAATGTTTCGATCCAAACTTTCGGCCAAAAAAGGTGAAATAAAACGCACGGTTTGAATTTTAAGACAGTAAAATTGCATAACAAAACTGATATTACATTACCGTAACCACACCAACGAAACAGTTTGAAGACAATTTAAATTTTTTGCTGACTAAATTAAAATTGTTTGTTGGAAAGATTAATAGTTTTAATCTGATACTTACAATGGTTAACTCAAAATAACCCCAGTACATTCGGCGCTTTTAGCTAATTGGGGGCTGAAAATAAGGCGAATTTCACAAAGTAAATCAAAAAGAAAGACGTGTAAGGAGAACAGATTAAGGCTAAAGCTAATCAAAATTACGGAAATTCTTTCTTGTGTTCTCAACGTGAATTCATTATTAGCTCCATCCGCAAATTGCGGTGCGGAAATTTCACTTTTTTCAATAAATTTCCCTAATGAAGTTTCCTCATTTCAATCACAAATCGCTACCTTCCTTTTGTTTAAAATCAGTCTGTCTTTCTGAATAAATTTGGCCATAATGGTAACCAGGAAGAGTATCTCTCATTTTTAGATTGCGTTTTATCTTGTCACAAAGTCACTCATTTTTGCCTGCTGATTATCAGTCGAATTTATGGAAGTTCAATTTTTCCCCGTAAATAATGGAAGTTCAATTTTTCCCCGTAAATTTTTCCCCGCACTCTAAGTTCTTGTCTAAAAATTTAAGTTTCCAAATATAAAAATTGTGCTGATTTTTTAATTTAAAAGCCAGCAGACTCTATTTTTTTTACTTTTGCCTATAAAAACGTTTGAGACGCTCCTCTGAATATTAGTGGGCATTGGTGCAGTGCAATAGACGCTTTTAAATGAAGCTAAATTTTTTAAATCCAAAAATAGTTTAACAAAATACAAACGGTGGGAACCACTGAAAAAAACTGGACAATAAGATGTGAGAGCTGAAAACCTTGTCCGCCAACACGCTTTCTAATAACTTCACATACATAAACGGTAAAACAGCACAGTATTAATTGAAAAACTTACTTTTCACAACGGATGCTTGAAAAGGTAAAAAGGCGGTCGTATGAATGGGTTCCTACAACTCACATGGCGAAAATGCCTTTAAGGTAAAAATTTCAATGATTGATTCAATCTAAATCAATATCCGGTTTGATAAACAGGGATTAATTTTGCGTTTTTCTTTGATGCAAAATATCTAACAGGTATTGTTGGCATTATTGCAGTTATGTCTGTAGTCTCATCTCCTCTTGTGAACTAGTATTTCTTCAGGTGGTAAATGTGTTACTGGGAACAAAACTGACCGACTAGAATTAACTAGAGAAGACCCAAAATTATTACCACGATCTAAGATGTAGTTGTTACTCCCCGAATCGATAAAGTTATCCCCTATTTTATGTAACTAGGCCTAAGGAGACATCGCAACTGCGTTCGATTTTTTGGATTTGGCACAATTTCTTTTATTGCAAATAAAATATGCAAATCAAATTGGCTAAGATTTTCATATAAGTTTCTCAAAAAGTTTCATATTAATAAGTGTATAGATGCAAAATGCTCCATAGAGATTCAAGTAAATTTAACCTAAAAGTTGCAATAAAGGGGCAGATTTTTGGTCATAACAATTCATTTGAACAAAAAATTTTTAACTAGTTCAGTTATCCTGATGAAAATATTGTCCTATTGATAGGGAAAAGGTAAAATAGAAGAGTTGAATTATGTTGTAAATTGATAGACTATGAAACAATTTAAAGTTCCTTCTTTTTGTTTTGTATTCTGTGAAAATTAATTAAGAGTTACCCGCTGAAATAGAGGAACAATGAGTGCAATTTATATTGAGCTGGGCGGAGAGAGCAAAACAGAAAATGTCGATTGATTTTTGATACGAACAAATGATTGTAAAATCGATTATGTTTTCTTATAATCCGACGCTGCTTCAGGAAGGGACGGTGAATTGGAGGAAATTATCGACTCTGAAAACTAGGGCAAAAAGGCTTATCATCGCACAAAATAATGTTAGTTAGATGCGGAAAATTTTAATCAGTCAAAATAATAGCTCTTCTATCCCTTCCCCAACCAGATAAAAACATCAATTTTACGCTGCAGCCATTGCATTGACTAAGTTTAATACTTTAAAAAATGCGTTTGTAATAGGTAGTGAAACCACTTTCTAATATTTATGACAATTCGACTATGTGAAAGAAATAAAAACTCACAAAAAATGCAGTCGGGGTTGGCGAAAAAACAGTTGAAAAAGGCAGGGGCGGATCTAGGATTTTCTCGAGGGTGGGGGGCGGATTTTCAAAAAATTTTCGAGAAATTTGACGACCTATTTTTAGGTCGACAAAATTGATTTTCTGAGCTCTCCTAAAGCAATAAAAAGACGCTCTTTTGGCCAAATTTTCAGCGCCGCTGGCAAATTTTTGAAAAAATAGATCAAAAAAGCCGTTTTTGGGCACTTTTTGGAAAATTTTGACGGAAAAAATAGCCTTTTTTTGGCACGCGCTCCTCCTCAAAGTTAGTATAAATTGGCGCCGAAGACGCCTTTAGAAAAACTTTAGGGTTATTCGGGCAAAAATGGATTAGTTAAAAAGTAACAAAGGGGGGACCCTTTGGGTTGGCAAGGAGTCGAATCCCTGAGGGGGAAGAGGCGTCCGCCCCCCGCCCCTAAATCCGCCCCTGGAAAAAAATCTAATTATTGACGAGAGAAAATTTAATCTCAAACGTGTTTATGGTCATCATTAATAAACTCCGCTTTTTAATCATATCATGTTGCAAACCATTAATGTCACCATCAGGAGCGGATTTAGTAGGCGGGGGGGGGGGGGGGGGGGGGGGAGGGGCGGACGCCCTTACCTCGGCGATTCGACCAGCTGCCGACCCAAAGGGTCCACCCTTTGGTACTTTTTAAGAAATCCATGTTTGACCGACCGACCGACCCTAAAACTTTTCTAAAATATATTAAATTTGGGGGAGGAGTGCGCGCCAAAAAAGACGCAATTTTTTGGTCAAAAATTTCCAAAAAATGCCTAAAAACGCATTTTTTTGGTCAAAATTTTGCCTGCAGCGCAAAAATCTGGTCAAACCAGGGTCTTTTTAGTACTTTGGGAGTGCTCGGAAAATCAAACCTAGAAAAAAGGTCGACAAAATTTTTAAACATCCAGCGCCCCCCCCCCTCGAGAAAATCCTAGATCCGCCCCTGAACACAGGTTCTGAATGTTCCACGGTTCAACAATCGTAATATAAGCGATTTCTTCGAGCTTTTCGGAGTTCAAAATGGCCTTTCTTTTGACACAAGTGACAGGTGGAAGGCAAAGAGAAAAGTGATGAGCCAATTTTTCCGAAGTATGGGCATTGGGCGCAATTCTCTCAGTCACATGATTGAATCAAAAGTGGAAAAGTTTATGTCGCATTTTGAAAAACTGGACAAAAAGAGGTTGATATCAGGGTGAGTTATATGTTTTACATAAAACTGTTTTTTGGCTTGGAGCATAAGTGGATATAAATAAAAGGAGAGAGCTGAAATTTTTAGTGGATAACTCTAAAAGTTTCCAAACGGGCAATAAGCAGCAAAAACTATTACTTTGACAGGGGACCGCGCCAAGAAAATGCGCCAAAATAGTCCAAAATTTTCTAAGAAACTTTTGGTCAATTAAAGCTATTTGCTTTGAGTGAAGGTAGAAAATCAGTTTGGTCGAGTTATAAAAACCAGACAAAAATTTCAATATATGAACCTTCAAAATCCTTCCACAAAAATTTTTAAGCAGAAGCTCACACATTGGGGAGGTATGTACGTTTCAGCTAAAAGTATTCGAAAAAAAAAGATAGTACACCAACAAACTTCGAAATATATTAATCTTACCTAATTGTCGAAAAAATTTTATTGTCAGGCTGGTAAAAACCAGCAAACCATTATGTTAATAGGTGTTTTGTTTCAGAGGTACGTTGACTACATGTCCAGCAATATCGTTTTCAACCTTTTATTTGGCAAGACGTTCGATTATGATTACCCCAAGTACCTTGAATTTTACTACTACTTACAGCGAGTTTTTGACTTTCAAAATCCACGAGCACTTCACTACTGGTTACTTTTATGCATAGTCAAGCGTATGTCTGTGCCTAAGCAAGTAATAAGCATGCGGAAAAACTTCATCGAAAAGTTGCAAGCCGAGCTCTTTCGCCAAAAACCGCCTTCAGTCGAAGCTGCTCGGAATCGAGAAGTCTCTTTTTCCCCAGGGATTCGACTCCCTGCCGACCCAAAGGGTCCTACTTTGAACTATTTTGAGATATTCATTTTTGGCTGACTTAGACTAAAATTTTTCTAAAGGCGCCTTGGCCGCCAATATATACTAATTTTGAGGCCGCGCGCCAAAAAAACGCGAATTCTCGGTCAAAATTTTTCAAAAGGTGCCTAAAAATGTCTTTTTGACTTGTTTTCCAAAGTTTTGCCTGTGCCGCAGAAAACTTGAGCAAAACAGGGTCTTTTTAGTGCTTTAGGAGAGCTCGGAAAATACATTTGGTCGAACTAAAAAAATGTCGTCAAAATTTTTGAAAGTTTTTTGAAATTCCGCCCACCTCGGAAAAATCCTAGATCCGCCCCTGGTCACCATTATTTTCAGATTGTCCCGATCCTACCAATCTAAACCAGGTACTACTCAGTTTCAGCCAATGTGTTCAGTAGATTTCGGAAATTCCCACCCATTGCTTAGCGCTATTTGCAACTTCGTAGACAATTTAGCATCCTCTCTCTCATAATGTGGCTCCTGCGAATTGCAGAGGAGCTATCAATAGGCCTTAACACTCTTGTAGAGGACAGTCCATTTTTCTTATCTCCCCACATTCCAGATTTGTTATTTCGTAGAGCACAGCTCTTTTTTTCCGACTCAAGTCCGTTTTTTTGCGTCTAGAACTTTCACGTGGTACCACTATTGCAGCCGAACTTGGTCGGCTTGTAGTAGGTCTGAAATAGAGGTCAATTGAGAGTTGGTCACCACACACTATCAATGCCATAGCATGGGATCGAATACTCGATCTGAGCCGAACACAAAGAGTTTTTCTCCCATTTTCAATGGTCGGAACAAATATCTCGCTGATTGAATACATCGATATCATTTTCATGGTTGCTAGTTTTACTTCATTGAAAGGAGTTTTGTACCGACCTCGGTCCAAAAAAACTTGGTAACCTCACTATAGTCAAGTAGAAAGTGCAGTTTAGATTAAAGGACTGTATCTAACAAACTGTCTAATCTTGATCTTAACTCCAGAATAAGAGCTGCTCATAGCCACCAAATACTAATTTCATTTCTGATTTAAAACTAAGCTTGTTACTTAAGTACAAATAGTAGAGAGAAAAATCAACTTCAATTTCCAATTAGCTTTTTTTCTGGAATCTTTGCGTAAATCTATCTCAAACTTAAAATTATGTCTTAATTTTTACCACAGGAAGCCAATTTTCTAGCTCTTGATTTTCTTCTTTTCCCGTGTGTTCTTCCTGCATCCGAGCATCCCTTTCACGGTTTTCCTGTGTGCAGCAACTTGACACTATCTACTTATGCTTCCGCTTTTTTATGGGTTTTTGGCTGCTTCAATTGATAGTGGACTGCTTCGTCTTTTGAGAAAAAAGACTTCGAACATTTTTTGACCCAGCTTTTCATTCAGCCCACCGTACTGCTTTGGATGGATTGAAATGCTTCACTTCCAACTAGGTTTACTGAGTGACTCTCCAGCTTATGATATTTCAGTTTCATCATCGACTGCCATTGTCTGCTGTTCTCCAAATAGTGATCAAATTTCGAATCCAACTTTTTTTCTATAGTTTCCAGTTTTACTGTTGTCCTAATTATCTGCTTTGTCCTGATATCTCTTTCTTTCTGTGCTCTGACAAAAATGCCAGCCACATCGTCAAATATTTTAACTGATCATTGAGTTGTGACTTTCTTGATATGTTCAAATTTCTGAATTACGATTATTGATTGAAGTACGAAGATTATTGAAATACGAATTCGCATTTGATGCCTCAGTTGATTTTTTACGAAACTTAACCAAATTGACTGTTAAACAGGGGCGGATCTAAGATTTTCTCGAGGGGGATCTAAGATTTTCGAAAATTTTGTTTACTTTTTTTAGGTCGACAAAATGATTTTCAGAGCTCTCCCAAAGCATTAAAAAGACTCCGTTTTGGTCAATTTTTCTGCGCCCAAAAACTGGAAAAAAATTACGCTTTTTCGTCGCCCGCTCCCCCCTCAAAATTAGTATAAATTGGCGCCGAAAACGCTGTAAGAAAAGTTTTTGAATCCGTCAACCAAAAATGGATATCCCAAAACAGTACATAGGGGGACCCTTTGGGTTGGCAAGGGATCACCCCCTCCCCCCCCCCCCCCCCAAATCACCGCCCTGCTGTTACCGCCCCCGCA